ACTATCCCTTGTAAACGTTGTACTTACCTCAATATTGGTTGGTTATCGTATGCCTACAACTACGGGTTGAAAACGAAACGAAGTCGATTTTCCTGCGCAACCTGGAGGACTACTGTTTAATTCAATAATGATACGACATGGGTCAGACAATGAGTGTATATATATATATATATATATATATATATATATATATCAAATATTTAGCTGTTCAAACATTATTAACTTGTAGACAATCTACTATTTGACATTATATCATACTTGATCGTGCCTGTAAAAATGGCATGCATTTTCATGTAAATTTATGTTGATATGAAAATATAAATTATTATTATTATTATAACTCTCACACTCTGTCTCGTTATATCTCATGAGTTAGTTTATTTTATGCCGTAGCCTAAATGCGAAGTCGAAACACACCTTATGAAATATGTTTTTGTTATTACCGACTAAATATAATATTTTTCAATTGTGGCATGTGACAAATCGAACTGCTGCAATTCTTTGCTGAGTTCCATGATAAAAATCAGTCAGTCAGCTTTGTCACTGTAGCTGCCTAGTGTCACAACTCACTCCAGTGTTAATTGGCTTACACAATTATTATTGCAGTTTCTTAAGTATTCTATGCATTTGCCAATTCCTTAAATTGTCCAGCTAAAGTGCACCGAAGAAGAAACCATGAACCAAAAGTCAGCAACACGGATTGTGCGAATAGAAGTAAATGAGATGGGTGATTTTTTTAAACCTGTAGTACGCGTAACTAAAATACTCATTTAAACAAATGAATCAAAAATTTGTGTGATATGATATGACTATGAGCAATAATTTGTCCTCGAAACGTCATCAGATAATATTACTGTACAACACTGAGTGGTTTATCAAAATAATATCTAATCTATAATGGAGTTATACTCCACCACAGTGCCCAAGTTCTATACTTATATCAAAAGAACTTATCTTATGCATTTTGTGTCTCCTAATTGCTTCATTTTTGTCTTCTTCATTGCAGGTTGTCAGTCTTAGTAGACATTCTACTAGATGTCGTCTTACAATGTGTCTGCAAGCAGTCTTTCAATACATTCACCTCCCACAAAATTGTTGGTATGAAGCCTTGAGATTATTCACTTCGGGCCGTAGTTCAATTAGTACGCTTATATTACTGATGCAATGAAATGAAAGACTTAAAATAATAATAATAATAATAATAATAATAACAGCTTTATTCCAAACAGTATTTGTGGTACAGGTATGGAATTTTCAGCATGCATTACAATATTGCATCTAATTACCTCATAAATTTTACAAGATTTTAAAAACGAAAAGCAACAACAATAAAAAATAGATGAATAAAAAGAAATAAGAAAGAACAGCGTTGCAATCACATTTTAAACGATGCACCACAGGAATATGAAACATAAAATTAGTGTGTAATAGAAGAGGTGAGCAAAATTATAATAGTAACACAGAAAGGAAAACAAAAGCTAATGGTGTAACAACAGAAGACAAGGCTGGCAACAGATCAGTTTTATTACGAAAACCAACATGTATTTATATGTATTTTACGTACATTAATAAGGCTCTGCCCGAAGAAAGAAGGCGGTCTTCTGATTGGTTGTTTGCAAACAAACGCAGTCTTCTGCTTTCTCGTTTTCGATATTTCTCGGAAATGCGAGCCACTTGTCTGCGAATCATATTTGTCCACGTCTAGGTCAGCTGTGATCGGTTGTTGAATCAGCCCAGATTAATTTCCACCAATCAGCGTAGATCAATGTCTACCAATTGGCTGGCAGCTTGCTCTCACCACAATGGGAACTATTTGTTAGAGTGCCGCAGTAAGTTGATCGTGTCATACATAACGGTACTTCTACATGTTGCTGTGAAGTTTGCCTGTAATAACATTTCCTACATAGTAAATACAATGCTTGTGATAACAATTCGTCATTATCTTTCCACTGCGTTTATAGGTGCATTTATATTTGAAAAAAGCTAACCTCGCCGTATTAGTTCTCGAAAATACTTTCAATATGTGCCCATACTTCTGCTTGGTATGAAATGCTACTCGTGGTCCATGAAATACTTCTTACTGCATTCGTAAATAACTACCTAACTATTATTGTATTGAGTAGTGAGTCGGAAGGCGTATGAGATTTAGATGTTAATGTGTATTTGCAGTGACTGACACAATATATATGTTTCATTCCAAAACAAGAAACTTTTATAGAGTAATGTAGGGCTAAGCGCTGTGAATTAATAGTGTATTCATTATTGTTTACATCTTGTATAAATGAAATGCTTGTATTCAATTTTCGGCGAAGCTGCAATAGCTCCCTGCACGGTTTCTTCAATGCACTCTCATGGGGAACAATACTTGGTACCGAGGAATCCAGCCAAAAGCATCTGTAACACAGTCGAATTACTATTTCAACTAAAAGCGGTAATACTGATATCATTAAGTGTGATTTACCTGTAAACTGAGGAACTCTAGTGTAACACGGCACAACATCCCAGCATGGTATTCTTTTCTTGTAAAATTTCTACAGGTGGAAGTAGAATTCATGGACTGAGCATTTGTTATATATGGAAGCCGATCATTGAGTCATGTAGACGAAAGGCTGGCGAAATGCGACGCTTTACACACGTTCCTTCATGTCTTACTTCATGTGAACCCTGGGCCATATCGAGCAGGCATTCCTCTAAATCGACCCTCCGTTTTACGCTCAATTATTGTTCGTACATATGTAATGACTTGGTGCATTTCCTAGTTTGCCTATAATTACGGAATGTACATTATATTAAGGAACACAAATGGATTTTCTGAAAACCAGTGGTGTTCCTTTTCTGGTTTTAAGTGATGTCACATTGATTGACACGATTAAAGGAACAGATTGTAACGTGGTGTTATCTATAGCTGCGAATCGTAGTTACCTAGTTTCGAATTGACATCATGCGTCTAATCCTATTAAACTATGGATATAGTTCTTCCTTCATGATATCTAGAAGTCCGGAGCACACTGTCTTTGGCAGATCTAATTTTATTTTGTGACTAATTGGTGAGTCACCTGGTGTTGTGGTAGTAGAAAAAACAACTTCAAATCGAAGTATTTTCTAGATATGAACATATTTACTTACTTTGGCGACAATTTAATCTTTTTATCAAGAAACCCTTAGGGATATCGACCTTTACTTAGTAATTAAAAACCAGAAGGTAACGCCATGTTACGAAGTTATTCAAAAGACAGAATTATGAGTGCAATAGTACTTGGATAAACTTGTTCTAACGTAACTAAATAATGATAATCATCGTTGCAGACCACGGCGTACCACAGACAATACTGACAGACCAAGGTCCGTGTTTCTAAAGTGAAGAATTTACTTCCCGTTTGCAACAGCTGGGCATCAAGAGGATCCGAACGACCTCATACCATCCATAAACGAATGACCTGACGGAGAGAAACAACCGTACGCTGAAGGAGTGGCTGGCCTCGAAGGGCGGTAACTGGGAAACGGAGCTGCCACTGATTCTACTAACACATCGTGCCACTACCCAGGAAACAACGAAAAAGTCCCCCTTTCAACTGATGTATGGTAGAAAACCACGATTACCGATACACAACGAAGCCTGGCCCCTTCACCAAAAGTGGAGTACGACGAAATTAAAAGCAGAACGGAAAGAAGCCGTCAAGAATGTAATGCAGAAGCAGCGGACGGATGTCGCGAAGTCTCAGCTGAGAGAAAAGACTCAGTGCATTACCTTCTTAGTCGGGGACCAAGTAAAGTGTAGAGACAGAAGATATGCTGTTGGATGCGGGCCAGGTTCACGCAAACTCCTTCCAAAGTGGGAAGGACCATACACAGTCACAAAAAGACGGGGTTAAGTATATACCATCAGAAGAGGTGACAAACAAAAACGAGTTAACGCCAGTCAGATCCAACGATGGGTGCATTGGGACAAGCCGGTCTGTAACAATCATCTACTAAAGGATGCATCACCCAGAAGGTCGGAACGCCTGCGCGCGAAGCTATTTAACGGGGGACGAGTGTGGTGAGAGATGGTTGCTAGCCAAATTGGTAGACAGTAATTGAGGTCAATGTTTATGTCTCAAATATTAGTCATGTAAAAACAAGGTCAAAGATGGACAGCAGACTTTGCGTAGGTGGATACAGTTAACATATAGATGATCTGACACAGTCACAAAGAGATGCAAGGTTAACTTTGTGTGAGAAACAACCAATCAACAGACTGTATTTTCTACTAACATTAATCTACAATAATGTATATTAAAATCTCTAAATATGTGTTGATTTTCCTTAATAAACGATCTGTTGCCGGACTGTTGCCTTCTGTCGTTACACTGGCTTAGCGAGGCAAAGAAGTGGGTCGGTCGGGGACCGAACCCCGGACCACATACCTGGTCGGCGATCATTCTACCGCTGTGCCACTGATGCGTTGTGTGATACTAGTAAAATTTCTAAGCGTTGTCGTATACATGAGTTTACACATGGTTTAACTCACTCTGATTTCGCCACTGTGATAATTTAGTAATACATTCAGTTAATGTGAAGGACTGTGCGTCGGTGGCACAGCGGTAGAATGCTCGCCAGCCACACCTGTGATTGGGGGTTTCATCCCCGGCCGACTCACTCCTTTACCTCACTAAGTCAGTAATAAAACTGGTGAAGGGAGAAGGTTAGGCATGAGGCTAGCAAACCCCTCCCGTAAAAATAAACACCATTGCTACCGAAACTTTAAGTGTATAGCTTGAAGCCCTATGTTCCACTGGGAATGTAAAGGAATAAAAAAAAATTTGAAGGACTACGCATATTTTGAAATATCTATTATTTCAACCTCTGAAATACTAAAAATAAGTTCGTAAAACCTAAATTAACTTATTCCATTTTTGTAACATTGTTAAATCCTGTTTTTTTTAATACAATTGAATTTTTTAGACCAGAAGATTCAAGTTGAATCATGCAAGTTATGGAAAAGACAGTACTTCTATGTAATGCTTTATAATTCTAATCATCAACAATCTCCTGATTATTTTAGCAGTGAATGTTCATTATTTGTTGGTGAGTTAACAGAAGATGTCGATGATCCTGCATTGTTTAATGCTTTTAAAAAATATCCTACCAGTCGATCAGCTAAAGGTAACCTCAGTATAAATGTCTATTCATCATATATATGTATATATATTTTTTAATTTTCACATTAACAGTTGTAATGACAAATGGAAAATCCCGTGGATATGGATTTGTTCGATTCTTAACAGAGTCTGATATGGATAAAGCACTTATTGAGATGCAAAATTATTGTGGTCTAGGATATAAACCTATTCGTGTGAGTCTGGCTATACCGAAGCGTTATAATATAGACGGGAGTTTGGTTGTTACCACATCAGTATCTGAATCAACTTCAGTAGTTCCTAGTGGTAAGTGTATATATCGGATTGTAATCCTTTCGTTCACATTAATCCCATCTAGATTCCACTACACTTTCTCTTTGTTTATGATTTTTCATAGTGTGAGTTGATTCAGTTTTGTGTGAACTTCTGTGTTGTTAAATCCGTCAGTCGGTCACAAAAATGAGAAATTTACAGTTGAAACTTATCTTTCTAATCTTTTTTGCTAGGGTTCTTAATTCAGTAAGAAAAAATTGAATAGGGAAATTTCGATGCATGACTATTTAGTATACGTCAGATGGAAAAGCTTTCAGATAACACCTACACAGTCCTAACTCGCAGATTCCATAATACTGGTCTTTTATTACAAATATGTTCAGATAACTATGTGTTCCTAGACAGTACTAATTTCAGACACAGGTGTAGTCTGCTACAAACTTAATTGAACAATAGACTGTATCACCACATGCTAACTTCTTAAAGATATAGTAGAGGACTGCTGCTGCCTGCAAAGCACTTGCTTGAATAGTGACTAGTGCCGTGGTCTGTGCATGCAAGTGAAGGACGAATGGAAGAGATTTATATGCTCTGAACATATTAAAATAGTATTTAAAGAACAGTTGTTTCAGCATTACTCGTTCTGAAAAGGTCTGTAACTTATTTCTGTTATTTAAACGGTATTAGCTGTTCTGTTCCTTAAAAATGGTTTGAAAGGACTAATGGATGTACCGAAATGCATTCCCTGAAGCTCTTGAGCACAAAAAAGTGCAAGCATAATGTATTATTTAATCATTATTCCCGTGGGTTCCGAGTAAAATACCGGGCTTCTACAGCACTTCTGTGTGTTTCCTACTATTCTCTGCACATCTTATTAGTCGGCTTCACGGCTATCCATAACCTTAAATTTCCTCTTCACACAATCTCTTTCATATCACCGTCGGGAGTTTCCATATTATGTCCTCGGGGCGATTAGTCTAGTTACCATAGTCTCTACAATACCAGTTTCCATATTCATCTTACATCTAATCTCTAACAGATAGCAACAAATATTCGCAAACCTAACTGCAAGTGCATAGACCAAGTAGTCGCACTCCATCAGTACCCTGATAACAGACGGTCAGCATTAGCTTGTAGGCAGCGTTTTACTACTTTGGTCGAGCGGTGTTGGAAAGGACACTTTGAGCAATAATTTAGTTGGCCTACACCCACTCTCAGCTTACCCAGTATTCAACACTTCCCTGAATGGAATATATAAACACAGGTCCTCCGTTCTTAAGTGAGGTTACAAAAGCTGTATGTAGTCTGAAACGAGGCAAAGAAGTGGGACCCGATGGAATGACTGCAGAGGTGGTGTTTAAGGACGGTGGAAACAGTTAACTGTCTGAAATAATAAGGTAACAGACAGAGTCTGGGAATCAGAGATAGTCCTGTCGGGATAGTGTAATTCATTGATTATCTCGATATACAAGAAGGAAGACAATTGTTCCTGTGATAATCACGGGGAGATTAACTTGACTAATATGGAGTTTTAGGCTCAATAATAATGCGTAGACTAAGCAGTGCTCTGGAAGAACTGACACGAAAGAACCGGAAAGGCTTTAGACCAGGAAGAGGGTGTATTGATCATATCTTCACTCTTCGCCAGATTCTGGAACATAAGCATACTTATCGGCATCCAACAATCGTCATATTTCTTGACCTGAAAACGTCATTCGATTCTGTCGACCGAGAGGTATTAAGGTGATGTTTGGTTTTGAAGGGAATGCCGAGAAAATAAATCTCAATATTCAAGGCACTCTACACGAACTCATTTAGTCAGCCAGGTAGCCAGGTAAGAGTTTGCGGAGAGTTGCCATCTGAAGTGGTGACAACCAGTGGTGCCCGTCAGAGAAGGCCACTTTCCCCATTTCTGTTTAATTTCATCATAGATATACTGACGGACTTAACCCCGACTGACTTCAGTGACTCAGGCCAGGATTGACTTGTTACCGGGTTGGGAATGGTCTCGTTGACCTAGAGTATGCCGAAGATATATTGGTCCTTCTCGGAGAAAACGCTGACAAAATGCAGTCTTTTGAGAACCTTTGGGAGCAGAAATCTTCGAATGTTTGGCATGCGATTCGCTCCCTTCAAATAACAAATGACGCTACAGGACTACTGGTCTGCATTGACTCCTAGCTTGAAGATAGGGAGTGAAATAGCGGTCGGTCGGTCGGTTTTCGACATAGAACTTTGCACATATGTGCGGCAGAGCGTGTTGACCATCCCACCTTTTTGGGAAGTTGCATAAGCCAGCCCCTCTGGGTTGATCGCTGACGAAATCTCAGCACGGAAACAGAAGGCTAGTGTCGCATAGGCAAGTTTGCGCCGTCTCTGGCGTAGATGTGATATCCGGCTGTCGATCTAAGGGCGTGTGTACTACTCAACAATTCGCTCCATCCTCCTTTTTGGCTGTGAGACATGGACACTGAAATTTGAAGATACGAAAAAGTTAGCTCTCTTTAATCATAAGTGTCTGCGTTCTGTTTCACTTATTGAGTAGTATTATAAGGTGAACAATATTGAAGTTAGACGTCTATTGCTAGATAAGGAGGTGGGAAATCAGTCGATGATGTTATAAAGTTACACTGATGGTTAGGACATGTATTACGTATGCCTAGCCATCGCCTTCCTCGACGGGCAATGTTAGCTGACATGGTTGGAAAAGATTTAGTGGTGGTCAAAAGAAAACATCGCTTCATCAGCCAATGAAATCTGTGGCCGTTAACTTGAACTAGCCACGTAGGGAGGTGTAAACTTTTTGACTGGTGGGGTATGGTAGAAACCAGTGGCTGGAGGTAATTGGTGATGTGGCTCCAAATTGTCGTTGTCACTGATGGTGCAGATGCATTCGCTCTTTGTGATTTATAATATCCAATAAAATTCTATTGTTCTCACATATTACTATTCTTTATGCCTGATATTTCTGTTTATTATCTCTGTTTTGAATCTCTCTTACTGTCTTGTCTTGCTTTGTGTGCAACGTAATGGGAGCGTGGCAGCTCGAAGTACTGCACATCTGTTCAAAGTTCTATTTTGAAACCAGTCAGTCAGAGAGGTGTTATACTGGTGTTTGACCCTCGACTGAATTACTTCTTCAGTGCCCTTCGACTTGATGTATGGGTATGAATTATTGTAACTTAGCCCACTATGAAGTATTGGCAAGTCATTTCTTGATACTGTTTTTACCTACATTTGTGTTTTCCTGTATTTTCATGTAGTTTGCATATTGTACAGTATGCTAGCTTTTTTTCCACTTTCCAGGCATGGCTGATCCCTTCACTGCTGCTGTGACTGGAAATTCAGCTGCTCAAGCAGAATATTATCAAGCCTATCAACAATACTACCAACAGTATTATGCGTATCAATATGCATCTCAGTTTTTTTCTGGCGACTCATCCACTGAAGGCGACTCTGCGAACTTAGGGATAACGTCAATAGCTGGCGGTGGTGCATTTACAGGTGATGCTACAGTACAACAACACGCATTTGTTGATGCTGCTGCTTCGCATTTGTATGCTAGAGCTATTCAGCAGGGCACTGGCTCTCAAGAATATGCTCCGGGTAGGCGATAAACTGTTAGGTGGAGTAGCACTCCTAAGAATATTCTTTTTTGTTGTTTTTATATTTCTCCTCATTCAGATAAGACAAGACAAGTAAATAGCAAGAAATTATGTTTCATCGTAAATGAATATTGTTTGGTTGATAAAGTGGATTCAAATAGATATAAGTAGCGAAACATAATTTATGTATATTTCAATCCATTTGTTATACAGCAGTCAATTCAGTTGTTTGGATAAAATTAATTGCGACCAACAACTCATACTTTATCAGCATAATCTTCAGATATTCATCAGGCGATATAAGACCTCATATATATAACTACCCCCTTTTTTGACTCACCAAAAAGCAATTTCAGAATGTGTACAATACCAGTAAGCTATTTTTTCTTAAAGATAAGCTTAACACGTGTACATTAAAGTCTCTTTTCACGATCACTACATTTCGCGTCTGACTTTTCGTAGTAAGTCAGAGAGTTTTTGGTGATACTCCTCTTTTTCATCGTCCGACCTACAGACTGTGATTGTGTATTCAGAGACTACCAGAAGTTGCTTGAGTGCTTAACTGTCCTTCTAAGTCCGAACAGCACCGTTTGACCAAAAGGCATATGCAACTTCAGATTACTATTATGTAGTGTGACTCATTTTCTGCCTAAGAAAATTATGTCATACCTGCGAGGCTATCCACAAGAAATGAGGTATGCCACAGAACTGGTAGGCAGACATCTGTCAGAACATATGGAATGCATGTAAGTCGACTATCGGATTTGTTACCTGTAGAGGCAATAATCTACTCCGGTCAACCACACACCTGCCCATCCAGACGACAACCACGAGCACACTGAGGCCGTGGCTATCATAATGTCACTAACCAACATCATCCAAGCAACTCATGCAGTCAAAACCAATCTCCTCCACGATCTTCACACCAAGATTCAACCCAAAATGGAGCAGGATTACAACTACACAATGATATGCACCCACAAACAACGCATGCCAAGACAAGAAGGAGGACTTCTACAGACAGCAGAAAACAGTGATCCACAAAAGCCCGCTGTAGATAGCAACATCGAAATCCGAATGAGTGATATTAATTCCATTGAAACTGGGATCAGACAACACAGGAAGAGAAGTCGTCAATATTAAAGTTGACATACTTGTTGTCTGTGAACACATCTATATTTCTCTTGTCATTACTTTGTGTCAGAACATAGCTTCTCAAGATGTTGTGAAATTCGGTTAGCTGTGGTGTCGTTTTTACGGGATAGAGTCCCTAGACCTACGCCCTATCTTCCCTCTTCTCCATGCTTACAACTGGCTAATCTAGGTTTGGTATTGCTTTCATTCGGAATCGAACGTGAACCGTTTGGTGTCACTGACCAGTATTCCACCACTGTGCAAACCACCTTTTCCCATTATGTGTAAATGTTGTTTTGATAAAGTCTCACAGTGTTATACAGTAATGTTTACTGATGACAACGTTTCGAGCACAATTTATTGCCCATAATCATATCAAGGTAATCACACGACTTCCTAAATTCATTTATATAGTTCCGTTGTTTTTCACTTGATTTGATTGGTAGTAATATTTTCCATATTTCGGTTATGAGTGATGAATCATTCCTACTGCATGTGTTGGGTGTATATTCGATGGACGAGGATTCAGTAATCAATCTCTCTCTCCACCTACCTAGATTACTTTTTAGAATTTTAACCCTCTCCCACCCTATTGTGTGTTAATGCATGCATTTCAACTGCTGAGCTTTTTTCTAAATTACTTATCTTCTCGGGGTCAACCATTCTTACCATAGCTAAATTCTTACGTTCTGACAATCTGACTATCCCTGACCTACTAGTCTAACCTATGTAGTTGACCTCACAGTAATTGCAGGGTATTTCGTAAATTATATTATTTTGTCTAATTGGGTCAACTGGGTCCTTTAACCTACAGAGCTTGTCCCTGAGTGAGTTTGTAGGTTTAAATGCCACCACACTAATTCCTGCTTTATTGAGAATCCTACGTAGTTTCTCACATGTACCCTCTTTATATGGTATCACTGTTTTTTTCCTTCACGCCTGCCAGTGGAACATAGGGCTTCAAGCTAGTGGCTTGAAGTTTCTTTAGCAGTGTTTATTTTACGGGATGGGGTTGCTAGCCTCATGCCCTACCTTTCCTCTTAACCAGCATTATTTCTGCCTTAGCGAGGTAAAGGAGTGCGCCGGCCGGGGATCGAACCCCGGACCATGTGCATGGTCGGCGAGCGTCCTAACCGAGATGACTTATATTCTCTCTTATTTATGTTATTATTACTAGCTTCACAATTCTTTTTATTTTATCGTATTAAAAACAGAACACATCTTTAGCTTCTTGACACACATAAACTCACTAGTGGAGGGAAGCCGAAAATGAACAAGGAGAATTAGCTATGTTAGATTGTAAAATAAAACGAATAGAAGAAGGCGAACTACATGCTAGTGTTTATAGAAAACCAACGCATTCTAATAGATATTTAGACTTTAATTCATCTCATCCTTTAACTGTTAAGGCAGGCTTAGTTAAGTGTTTAACAAACCGAGAAATGGCACTAAGTAGAACAAAAAAAGACCTAAATGATCAAATAAAACAGATAGAAGAGGTGTTGGTGTTAAATAACTATCCTTTAAAATTCATTAGGAAGATTGAAAAAGGCCAAAAGAAAAATAAAAGGAATTGTGAAACTAGTAATAATAACATAAATAAGAGAGAATATAAGTCATCTACAGTTATACCGTATAAAGAGGGGACATCTGAGACACTACGTAGGATTCTCAATAAAGCAGGAATTAGTGTGGTGGCATTTAAACCTACAAACTCACTCAGGGACAAGCTCTGTAGGTTAAAGGACCCAGTTGACCCAATTAGACAAAATAATATAATTTACAAAATATAAGTATAAAACTTGGGCACTGTGGTAGAGTATAATTCCATAATGGATAAGATTTTATTTTGATAAATCACACAGTGTAGTACAGTTATATTAACTGATGACGTTTCGAGCACAAACTATTGCTCATAATCATATCAATAGTTTGTGCTCGAAACGTCATCAGTTAATATAACTGTACTACACTGTGTGATTTATCAAAATAAAATCTTATCCATTATGGAATTTACAAAATACCCTGCAATTACTGTGAGGTCAACTACATAGGTCAGACTAGTAGGTCAGGGATAGTCAGATTGTCAGAACGTAAGAATTTAGCTATGGTAAGAATGGTTGACCCCGAGAAGATAAGTAATTTAGAAAAAAGCTCAGCAGTTGAAATGCATGCATTAACACACAATAGGGTGGGAGAGGGTTAAAATTCTAAAAAGTAATCTAGGTAGGTGGAGAGAGAGATTGATTACTGAATCCTCGTCCATCGAATATACACCCAACACATGCAGTAGGAATGATTCATCACTCATAACCGAAATATGGAAAATATTACTACCAATCAAATCAAGTGAAAAACAACGGAACTATATAAATGAATTTAGGAAGTCGTGTGATTACCTTGATATGATTATGGGCAATAAATTGTGCTCGAAACGTTGTCATCAGTAAACATTACTGTATAACACTGTGAGACTTTATCAAAACAACATTTACCCATAATGGAATTACACTCTACCACAGTGCACAAGTTTTATTCTTATATGAACCACCTTCTTGTCCATGCTGTTTTGCCATCTGCTTATATTGTGTTTTTAAATTTTATCTGATTTCTGTTTTCATCCACTAGAGCCTGAAGTCTTGTCGTCCGCTTGTGATCGTCCTCGTCATGTAGATGATTTAGACGAAGTTTTCAATTTCTTGGAGTCATCAAGATGGTACATAACTGACCCATTACTGGAATTATACCTTAAAATAAGACCGTAAAAAAGTTCAATTGAATCCTTTTTGTTAGCTGCTGTTTTTCATACATGAAGTACATTTCTTAGTTCTAAAGAGAAAAATGATGTAAATATATGTATACACTGCATAGGATTTTTGTAATTTTTTTATAGTGTTTAATAAAATTTGGTTTACAGAAATGCAATAACTTCTGCATTATTTTTACTTCATTTGTATTCACTTTTGTCAAACCTATTTGTAATGCAATAACTTTTGAACTAAAGTATTATCGTTAAAAACATATATAGGTTGAACAGCAGTAACATTAACCGTGATATGTGCCCTCAATTCTTCACTTGATGCATGTACATGAAGCGATGTAAAAGATGTGTGGTTCAAGATTAAGGCGGAAATTTAACGGATTTTTCATACAATTCCTTACCACTAGGAATTTACATCAGCTTAAGAGCACCGTAAAAGTAATGGACAACACTTCAGCTCATGTGAAAAGTGCGACGTTATCTTATACAGTTCGTTCCCTTTGTTAAATTGGTTATATCATAACGAACTACAAGTGAAGCTGCACATTATTATCTTTTATTTCATAGACTCTCTTTTTAAACTGGAGATCCTCCATCATCTACTCAACAAACACTTGCATTTCTAGTCAGTTGACAATGCTTCACATCTATTGCGTTAAGGATAGTTAAATAGCCTGGTTGCTCAAGCCATGATTCGAGACGGTGGCTCAGACGTCGGAACCCGAAATTCTGACCAGATTAGTCACAATCCAGGTAGTCTGGAAAGGCATGTTGCAAAGACAATATGACAACAGATTTTTATCAAGCAGATTTGCGCAACAGTGAAGAAGATAGGTATGCATCCGAAAATTTTATTTGATTATTCATCCACTGCGTTTATCATCGAACACAGATAATCTACACCACGTCACATTCTAGTCTGCCATTTCATATTTCACTACGTCCACCATTTTACATAACACAAATTCCCCCACGCAATGTCATATATATCACCCGGAGATAAGCCAATGCTTCCATCATATTCCACTTAAATTCAAACATATCAATCATAACCTGTGTGAAAATATTTGATTCTTTACGCTGACTTTAATTATGAAATCACTAGAGACGCATAAGTGTGCAAATTGTTCCCCGTTGTCATGCATTTCACTGGCAGCCTTCCTCTTGCTGCATGACAACTTCTCTTTCTGTGTTGTCTGATCCTACTTTCACTGATATTTGATTAAGCTACTCTTCTGTCTCGATTTTTTCTGTGTGTTCAACCCAAATTTCATTAGGGTTGTTGAATAATTTGACAATTTTTCCGTGAGCAGGTTGTTGAGATAGAACCAAATCCTTCTAACTGTGAGACTGTTAATTTTAGGTTCTTTTCCAAGTTTGTTGTAATTTCGGCGTTACTGTTGTGGCGAATAAATCGAATAATACCTATCTTGTTATCATTTTCTGTTCCAACTTTCGTTAGCCGCCTCATATCTTGTTGATGCCTAAGAAAATCTTCCATTCCACTTATTGCATAGGGAAGTTGAGACTTTCTGACATAACTCAACCTCTTCACTTACGTTTGAATATATCGTGCATTTTACCCATTCTTATTTATAATCCCCCCTCCGCCTTGTTCTTCACTGCGCTTCTCGAAAAGGACTATGTTATATTGCGTAGGATTTAGAAGTCCCTCACCAAGGTTAGTGGTGTACCTTTGCCCCAACAAACTGACTAATTATTGTTGATAGACATTTTAATTCTTGCAAGCAGATGGCTGAAGTCACATCCTGTCTGATACCCAATATCCTCTTTATTCTAATGAACGTTGTTTTTCTTTTTTCGCATGTCCTTTGGTAGAAGCAGAAATTTCACAAGAATTTATGCTCAAACGGCTAATAATTATTATAATTAGCACAGTTGTAGTGTGAAAACACAAATGTCAGAAAGGTGCTTATAAACTCAACTTGCGATGTTTAAATAAGTAGTGGTATATTAACACTACTAATATCATGTATATTTTTCTTTTACATGAAGAAATGAAATATTACTAACTTTATGAGTAAAATTTATGAGCCATACATCCTATTACTTAACCTTATTTCACGCAATTCGTAGATTCTCATCACTGAGACTTCGGTCACGTATATATACATATATATACTTTCATACCATCACACTGTCTGCAACACTTTGTATTCTCTGTTGGCCAGTAATCATCTCATGGTACGATCAGATAATTAAATATAGGCGGTCATTTATCTCTGAGTAGCTGACGCCACTGAGCGAAAACAACGATTGCAAAATCAATCAATAGTCGATAACTTTTTCGTCCAAGTTTTACAGTTTTCGAATATGATCCCACACGCAAACCAAATGCTAGACAATCACGTCCTACGCTTATGTGTGCTCCTACCACCAATTATTCTGACAAATTATTTGGTTCACTGGTTCCTGCTTACGTCTTCTCTCAGTTACAAACAGTAAGCATTCATACATACGCCACTCGAATAATCTGAAAAATTTTTATGTCCCTTGAGCTTCTCATTTAAGTTGAAATCAAAAATAACAGCTAAACATTCTACAATTACAACATTAGAATCTCTGTCGACAATCAAATGTTTTGCAAGTAAATGGCAAAATACGACTCTGCACGAGGACGTGTTGACCTGTCGTACTTCATCATTCTCAATCTCAATTCAGATCACGTGGCCTATCTTTGTATCAGTTTATATATAAGGTTGAAATGAGGATCGATTCAGCTTCTTATGAAGCCATTCACTCACATTTCCAGCTGGTGGATTCGCCAGCTGAACCATTGATAAATTCATAGATTGAACCAACTACTTCACGTTAGTACGTGACTCCATGAAAGATTTATTACCGATTACTCAAAATCTCTCAATTCATTTTTTACCTTGACGCGCACATCACAACTTTTATGTACGTCAGTAGAACATAAATCCGTGCATTGAGACTATAGTTCCCCTTAATGTGAACAGAGTCCATAAGGATCAATTTCAAATCATAAATAAGTTGCAACTGCTGAAGTAGCTAATTTTAATAAACTCTCTGGTTGACTTCTATTTGTCAGCAAGTTATATATTGCTGTGAAACATAGTTCCTCATTTCACCATGTTGTTTTACCTGGGAGCTGAACGACGACATCAGCGCTGCATCTGCAGTATTCGCCCTCGAATTCACTACATCATGACTCAAACAGAATACAAATCTAGTTTCTATTGTGTCACAAAATGTACAATAAACACATAATGGGAGTAGCATAGAGAATAGTCAGAAGAATACTGTTGTAATTATTGTCAAGTAAGTTTACCATTCGAATAATGACAATAATAATAATAATTTCTAAAGAGAGAAAAGCATTACTGGTGATCGGGCCAGTAACAAACATTATCACATAGTCCGTGGGGTGGAAATAATTTCCTTAGTTATTAAGAGAAAGAAGTACCAATAAATATTCCCCTATGAAGGTTTACATTCTGTAAAGTACATTTTTGCACTGAAGAACAGTTCTTGAAGGTTTCACTCTATCACCAGATGCCTCACTTATTCTGCAGAGCATCAAGTTGCGCCTTAAGTTCAGTGACTTGTGTAGACAAACGCGAATTCTCGTCCTTGAGAAAACGTAATTGACTTTTCAGGTTGGGTTGAGTATGGCTAAGTTCTGTTATCCTCTGCTGAACGAGAACAGTGTCTTCGAGGGATTTTTCTTGATCAAGTTCTAAACTCCTACAATAATGCCTACAAAAGAAATTGTGGAACCATGTAAGTGGGAGATAGACAGAGAGGTTGACAGCATGTCATTAACAAAGGTAAAGTGGTGTTTAGAATTAGGAAAACGCAAAAAACAAATTAAAAAAGGTTTTATTTAAACTAACTATTCCACTGCCCTATGGAGAAGAAAATGATATGAGATTGGATTAATTTTGTGTACAATACTGACTAACAGAGTTCCAGCATAGAACTTTGCACACAAGTACAGTAGTTCCAGTTGCACATTAAGGTAAACAACAAAGAGAAAAAATTAATTTCAAAAGAATTATAATAAGCAGAAATATGCAAGAGGAAAAATATTGACATAAGAGAACATGACGGTATAATATATCCCAAAGTGTGAATGCTTCTGCGCCATTGACAACGATTTCGAGCCATGTCATCAATAGTTTCCAGCCATTTGTTCTTATCACCTCGAGGACACCAACCAGACAGCCTATACATTCCTATATGCCTAAAACCAAGTGTGAGTACCTGGATATGATTATGAGCAGTAATAAATTGTGCTCGAAACGTGGTCATCAGTAAATAACATTACTGTATAACACTGTGAATTTATTAAAATAGATTTTATCCATAATGGAATTATACTCAACCACAGTGCCCAAATTTTATCCTTATATCGATAAAACGTAGCAGTATTAGCTGGTTGGAGGCAATCGGCAGGAAGCCTACGTTTCGTGCTAGTTGGCACTCATCAGTAGGGCGTATCTGCAACCTTGAAGGAACTCATGTCCCTTCTGAGATTTGAACCCGCGTCACTCAGTGCTGCAGTCATAGACGTTACCACTGAACTATTCGGGCTTGCGACTGACCTCCTATAGGAGGTCACCGTGATGGCGAGCTACCTAGAATGGTGGCCACATTGCAAACGTGACTGATAGAATTCAGTCTGCACCAAAGAAAGGACTAGACGCATCACACTAGCTACTAGTGCCCAATCAAAACATGGCAGTGTTGGACACTGGTAAGTATGTCTATATTCCAGAATTTGTTGAAGAGTGAAGGTACCATCAATACACTCTCTCTCTTCCTGGTCTAAGGCCTACCTGGTTTTCTCGCACCGCTTAACCTCCGCATCGGCGTTATCGAGTCTAGAACTTTAGATATTATTATATCAGTCAAGCTTATTGTGGTGTGAACATTTTCATAAACGTTTAGCATTTATATTATACACTATTCACATCTTTCATTTTTGTGTAAACCAGATTCTATACTGGAATTATAAAACGAATAAAGCCTTTATTGCGGGCCCTCAATATTCTCACCTGATCGGTGAATGTTTGATTAACTCATAAACACTACAATTTATTCGTTTTATTATGGACAAGATATTACGTCCTGAACGCTTTGATGCTGATTCCAATTGCCAAACATCTTCGAAGATTTGGAATCATTGGTTTCGTACATTCAATACTTTTATCACTAAATCTTCAACTCCAGATTCAGACAAACTTGATGTTCTCATCAACTATATCTCACCTACTGTATATGAATACATTGCTGAATGTAAAACATTTGACGGCGCTCTTAGTACTTTTGAGAAACTGTATGTCAAACCAAAGAACGAGATTTTTGCTCGACATCTATTATCCACATGCAAACAAGAGACTGGACAGAGCCTCGACCAATTTTTACAAAAACTGAAATCTCTGGCAAAAGATTGTTCATTCAAACCTGTCTCGGCTGAACAAAATCAGAATGATGCAATACGTGACGCATTCATAAGTGGAATGCAATCTAATAATATACGACAACGTCTTCTGGAAAACAAATTACTTGATCTTGATACTGCTTATGAACAAGCTCGATCCCTAGAAATGGCTTATCAACAATCACATTCGTTTCATCCTTCCGAATTCTCCAATTCTGCTGCAATATCAAACAGTGATACATCAAATGAACTAAACTGTTATGTGGGTGAAACAGGATTGACTGCTTCAATAAATGAGAAATGCTACTTCTGTGGATTTACTAGACATCCTCGCTCTAAATGTCCTGCAAGGGATGCAGTATGCAAACTCTGTGGTAAGAAGGGGCATTATCAGAAGGTCTGCCGGTCAAAATCGTACACCAAAACTACATCAGTTACTAGTTCTTTGTTGTCTTCCATGACTCTAGCCACCGCTCCACAGTCTCTCTCCAATGCGGTTGTGCAGCTTTTTGTAAATGACATTCCCCTACAAGCCCTCGTAGATACTGGGAGCTCAGACAGTTATATTTCTTGTGCAGTCGTTCAAAAACAACATATAAAGGTAGAGCATTCCCGCACTTCAATCACAATGGCTTCCACAAGTCTGACAACTCATACTCATGGTCACTGTTATGTAAATCTACGTTATAAAGACTCGAGTTACTCACATATCAAACTTTCAGTGTTGCCAAATCTGTGTGCTGATGTGCTATTAGGTCATGATTTTTTACGCTTGCATAATAAACTCGAAATTCCATTTGAAGGTAAAAACAATCCATTTTCACTGTGTAATCTTGTTGCTGCACATATTGATCCACCTCCCTTGTTTCATAACCTAACACCCAAATGTGTTCCGATCGCTACAAAATCACGAAGACATTCCACTTCAGATGAACATTTCATCAAGCTGGAAATCGAAAATTTACTCAGTGAGCAGATCATCGAGCCATCTAACTCCCCTTGGCGCGCCCAAGTTTTGGTCACTACTAATGAACGCCACAAGCGTAGAATGGTGATTGATTACAGCCAAACGATAAATCGTTTCACATTATTGGATGCCTATCCACTCCCAAAAATTGATGAGATGATTGAAAAGATTTCAAAATATACTGTATTTAGCACTTTGGATTTAAAGAGTGCTTACCATCAAAGAAGAAGAGAAACTCTTCACAGCTTTTGAAGCTTGCGGCAACCTCTATCAGTTCCGTCGTATTCCCTTTGGTGTCACAAACGGTGTTTCGTGTTTTCAGAGAGTTATCAGTCAGATTATCAGAAATGAAAATCTTCAAGCTACATTTGCTTATTTAGATAATATAACTATTTGTGGTGAAAACACAGAACAACATGCAAAAAATCTTGCCCGGTTCTATGAAGCATCCAGAAAATATGGGCTAACATTCAATGAGAATAAAAGTGTTATTGGCGTTAAACAAGTAAAACTTCTAGGCTATGAAGTTTCTCATAAAATGATCAAACCTGATCCCGATAGACTTCAAGCATTATGGAATTTATCACCTCCACGAGATCTTAAATCCCAACAGCGAGTCATTGGTCTCTTTGAGTATTATTCACAATGGATATCTCATTTCTCCGATAAAATTCAACCCCTTATACAAAATAAAATCTTTCCATTACCAGGTACTATTGTAAGCTCATTTGCAGCATTAAAAAATGAACTTGCTCAATCTGTGATGACTACTGTGGATCTCGACTTGCCCCTTATAGTTGAAACCGACGCTTCGGATACTGCTATAGCTGCCACGTTAACACAAAATGGTAGACCCGTTGCATTTTTTTCCAGAACACTATCACCAAGTGAACGGCATCACTCAGCGGTGGAGAAAGAAGCTTATGCCATCGTCGAAGCTATTAGAAAATGGCGTCATTATTTACTTGGTATTCATTTCCAACTCATTACAGACCAACAATCAGTTTCTTTCATGTACGATATGAACCACCATGGGAAAATAAAGAATGACAAGATTCAGCGTTGGCGAATAGAACTTTCTTGTTACAGTTTTGATATAATCTACCGTTGTGGCAAAGAAAACAAAGTCGCCGATGCATTATCTCGCGGATATTCTGCTTCTGTCATGGGTGAAACTAATCTGAAAGACCTACATAACTCTCTGTGCCATCCAGGAGTTGTTCGCCTTCTTCACTTTGTGCGTTCTAAGGACCTACCTTTTTCTGTTGATGATGTGAAGAGGACGATATCTAGTTGTGCAGTTTGTGCTGAGCTGAAACCCAGGTTTTGCAAAGTATCCACAGGAAATCTTATTAAAGCGACTTCTCCTTTTGAACGTCTAAATATTGATTTCAAAGCACCTCTTCCTTCAAACTCCCGGAACAAATATCTTCTTACGATAATTGATGAGTACTCTAGATTTCCGTTCGCTTTTCCTTGCCAGGATATGACAGCATCAACTATTATTAATTGCCTGTGCCAGTTGTTTTCCCTGTTTGGTATGCCATCCTACATGCATTCAGACAGAGGATCGTCGTTTATGTCTGCAGAATTAAAACATTTTCTCCACGATAAAGGAATAGTTACCAGTAGAACAACAGCATACAACCCCCAATCAAATGGACAGATTGAACGTCTCAACGGCATTCTCTGGCGATGTATATCACTAGCTGCTAAATCTAGGTCCATACCAATCTGTGAGTGGGAGGTTGTTCTCCCCGACGCTCTTCATCCTATCCGTTCTCTTTTATGTACTGCCACAAATACTACTCCACACGAACGGATGTTCAGATACAATCGAAAATCAACGTCTGGTGTTTCTCTTCCCAGTTGGTTAACTATTCCTGGACCGGTCTTGATGCGCCGTAATGTACGTTCTAAATATGAATCTCCAGTTGATGAAGTTGAACTGATTGAATGTAATCCCAAGTATGCTCATGTGAAACTTCCAGATGGACGTGAGGAAACAGTATCTATTCATCATCCTGCACCAAAAGAACATATATTTCAATCGCCCGTTAGCATGCCGATTCCAGACGCAGTACCAGAATGCCTCCAAAATCAACTTACTGAAGACGACATATCCACCCGTTAAGCAGATACTGAAACTCCTATTTTGACGGACAATTTAAGTGAAAATGTCAAAATTGATCCGAACCCATCTTCTTTACTAGAGAAACAACGAAGGGTTCGTCCATACAATCTGAGAAGCCGCGAAGTCTAAACAATTTTAAAAGTCTTGACTCCTTATGCTCTGTATTCTCAAACAAAAGGGGAGAAGAATGTGGTGTGAACATTTTCATAAACGTTTAGCATTTATATTATACACTATTCACATCTTTCATTTTTGTGTAAACCAGATTCTATACTGGAATTATAAAACGAATAAAGCCTTTATTGCGGGCCCTCAATATTCTCACCTGATCGGTGAATGTTTGATTAACTCATAAACACTACACTTATACAGCAAAAGACACACTTAGGTATCACACAATTTTTCTTTATAATAAGCAGAAACAGATGGGACAAAAAACTGTTTTGCAGAAGAGAGTGTAGATCCCTGTCAAAAAGCATAATTTGTATGGCTGACATACAACTAAATCTTTTGATCAAAAAGAAAGATTGGGAAACTTCTACCATAATACTATATAAACTAAAGTGGAAAAGAGTGAAACTACATTTTCAACAGCAGCAACAATGAGTTTTTTTTATTTTTTTTTATTCATTAAAATGACTCTTGATGATTATCCTGATTTCTTTGATAGATTTCATTAAATATGCTTTACTTGTCAATGAAGGCATTACTCATATTAACTTAACCAATAAATTTAAGTTAGATAATTCACTGTTTCTATATATTAATTGAGAACTCAATTTGTGATGAATATAACTTAGTATACCCGATTGTAAATAAAAATGATAATTCAGAAGATTGATTTTTAATGCCTGTAAATGGTATTAAGCTATAAATAATAATTACGAAGTGGCGAGTTGCCACGTAGAGGCGGAGGCACATGTATACTATATACACAGATCTGATATTTCTAATAAGTGAAAGAGCCTGATTAATTGACTAAGGTCACAGTGCCATCATATATGTGGACAACACACTACCAATCATCCATGAATGCAAATTATCGATTGTTGACACCAGTTCATGTATTCGCTCGTCTCCTAGCCGCCTAAATTGATTATGCATCATCATAAGTATGATTGATCGACACACTCAAACGCTAACTATTTTTTTACAGCTTAGTACCACTGAAGGAAGAGAAGCATATTCGAATCTCGAAAAAACTTCCTGGTTTTCTACTGACCGAAATATTGCCTCAATTAGCTTACATTATAATTACTTATTTTGCATATTATTTCAATTTGTGATTTATCAGTCCAATAGTCACATAATACTGAACTTTTTGAAGAAAACCCTTTAGTTATTTTATTAATAAGTATTTAAAGAATTGAAAAACAGTGGATAAATTAAAAACAACAGTTTGAATTAAGTAAAAATATCTAAATTTTATCTTACATAATAGCAGCCTCGACCTTTTTAGCATCCCTTGGCGATTCAGGAGATTCCAGCGATTTCTCGCAATTCCTCTTCGCCTAAAATGAACAAAATTATTTAACACATTATAAGTGACAGCAATAACTGAAAAAGTTACTTGGTCGTGAAAAATACTTATTCCCATAAGATACACTTATTAAATGCTATCTGGAGGTGACGAAGACAACAGACTGTGTGTAGTCACGAATTCGATTGACACTCATAAAAAGAATAAAACAGAGTAAGTTGAGTACATAAATAACTATGGGTTAGCTGTACAAAATCTATTCTAAAAATATTCATTTTCACTATGCACTGATAGTAGTGCTTGATGAATTGTGTGCACGTTGAACTGCTGCAGCTGGAGGAAGAATTCCACGTTGGAAATTTACTTCTGTTCATGCACTGATGGAAAAAGAGAATAAGAATACTAATCGAAAGAGGGGCCGCGGCGGGGTGGGGGGCTCTGTTGAAGTAAATCTTGAGGAGAAAAACTAACAATATGTTAACAGAATGTTTATAACCTAGGCTGTGTATGTGTATTAGAATAATTCACCGGGACCATTATTTTAAAAAAAGGTGTTTTGAAGTTGGTTTTACAGAATCATCTGAAACTTATACATGGCTTTATGGAACTAACAGTTGTCACCTACCTATCTGATCTGAGCCAAAAAATTCTCATAACAGTCAAATAAAGACAGTCCAACTGTACTACTACTAGAACGAATTTTCAGTCTGAAAATTCCACAGTACGTTTTTTGCATTTCCTATCGATTATATAAACAACTGAATACTTAATAAATAAATAGAAATTAAGCTGAACCAACCTTTAATTCTTCATAATCTTTTATTTTTCGATGAATTTTTTTATTTTCCCAACGTATATCTTCAATTTGAGCATGTAAAATATCCATTATCTCCGTGTCTTGACACGAATCCACCCGTACTACAGCCTTATTTTTACGTAAGCACCATATGAAAAATGAAAACGTTCAAGTCATGAAAAAAAAGCGTGAGAAATGAGCATTGTAATATTCACTTTGGAAAACCACGATGACATTCATTCATTCATTCAAAAACTAGACATATAGTGCAATTAGCATTTAGAACTCCAGTAGGATCAGAGCCGTTCGTTCAATATATACTGAAATTGTTACTACTTGCTTAAAAACAATGTCAAATATATCTAGATTAAAGAAGACATCCATCTAAGTGCTTTCCCAATGTGATGAAAATAGGTTGGTCGGATACACCGAATATAAATGAAATCAACACTTCATTCAACTGTATCCATATTTTTGCATCCCCATGTCTATAAAACCTAATAGTTGAATGTCATTAGTGCTTGGTAGGAGACAAAGAGGTTTACTATCCCTCATTATCTACATGACCTTCATATCAAACTTTTAACCCCAAAACAGGTAAAGGACCAGGTTAGTGAACTTTTATCGATACATACTGGCCAACCAAAACATAGTTTTCCACATAATAAACTAGTAATTTATTGGCTATGTAAAATAAACAACATAGCTGCAATTTCCAGTGATATTGCTTTTTTGAATAAAGAAATAAACCATTACCTTTTCAGTCTTCTCGGTGTGGTAATAGTTCAAGTGGTCAGTCATATATTATCGTTGTATTGAAGAAATAGTAAGAACAAATCTACAAGTCCAGTATCATTATTGCTGCATAGATCCGGAAATTTGCAACAACCACAATAGTCTTATCACGATAAGCAAACAAGTATGCCTATGTATGACGGTGTACTGCGAGTGATTTCACCTTGGAACACTTACTTTGATGTTGTCGAGAAACAAAATAGCCCAATGGCAGGAAGTTACAAAATATTGCTAATTATATTAGAGGGCGAACTTTTTAAGCTCATTTATAACTTACAAGTAAAGACGCAAGCTTTGCAGGCATATTATCCAAGCGTCGTTTCAATTCTCTGATTTCCTCCCTCTGTTTAACGACCATTTGTTCGACAACTATGCGTTCTTTATCAACCTGAAAATTATTTAAACACAAGTTGATTCTCTGTAAATATTATTATATTTCAATGTTATACTGACATTCAGTCAGGCATACTTCCTTCGATCCGCAACAATTTGTGTCGAGAAAATAGCACACATTTTAAATAGCGACACAAAATATCGCTCTAAATATCCCTATAATATAATCAGAACAAGATGATTTTTGCGTGAACAACTATTTTCAACAACTTCAGGCTATACAGTAATATATCCATGAATATAAGAATACAAATAGCCAGTAAATGCACTAATAATAATAATAATAGCTTTATTCCAAACAGTATTTGTGATACAGGTATGGAATTTTCAGCGTGCATTACAATATTGCATCTAATTACCTCATCAATTTTTATGAGATTTTAAAAATAAAAAGCAACAAAAACAAAAGAAGATAAATAAAAGAACTAAAAAAGAACAGCATTGCATTCACATATTTAAACAATATAGGCATAAGGTTTTATCAAACAGACAATCTTGACATTACCAGTTGATCGCTATCCATTTATATTGTCATTCCAGTGGCGACTACACTTTGCATATCCAGCAGTCATCAAGTCTTCAGAAGATTAGCGTTCACTTATATTTTACAACTTTTATCTTAAACGAGAGTAGCACCATCAAGCACTGAGGACAGTGCCCACAGAAGGGGGGAGGCAATGTAATAGGACAAAAACCAATATGATGTCACTAAATAAGTTTTTCTCTTCTTCTTTTGCAGAAAACAATGCTAGCATAAACTCATTGGAACAAGAAGAGGAACGTTTAGCTGGACTTGTTTTAACAGATGATAACTAACTTGTAACCGCTTAATTTAAACCTTGCATGCTGACAATATAGACTTTCATCGCACTCTGCGTCTTCTTCTTTCTCTGTCTGTGACCCTGTGGAATATCTGTTACAGTATGATGATGGCATGCTTGTGAGAGAAAGGCTGTGAGTTTGTGGGCTTTTTGAAGTCCGCATAACTAGAATTTGTTTTTTACTTGGTGAATGAATCAGAAGAGTGCCATATATGGCACTATAGTTCTAAAAGCTAAAGGCGTAATACCTCCCAGTCAGAGAATGCACCTGGGTAATGCGGACAAAACGTGGGCTAAATGCGTCATTTTGATCCGCAAAGACGTGGACAAAAGGGGTTAAAATGCTACATAGTTAACCCACTTTACCCATATTGGCCAATTTTTCCCCGTTTGCCATGTCCCAAAAAATTTTATTGTCCCAGTTTACTCACTTTTCAACAAACACTACCCATGTTGATTCCGAAAACAGCTCACTTTTTCCAACTTTGCCTAATTTCGTTCGGAAAACTGCCGACGTTTTAACCCAGCAATGATTTCGGGCGCATTGCAGACTTTTCGGGGCAGACCTCGGGCGCACTGCAGACTTCTGGGGGGGCAGAGGTACATTCAAATACTCAAAATCTGCAATGCGCCCGAAGTTTTTTGCCCCGAAAAGTCTGCAGTGCTCCCGAAGAAAATGCTAGCTGGGTATCTCAGGTACAAAGAAAAATAAGTGATAAGCTGTTATTTATTTCGACCAGTGTGTAGTATCGAGTATCCCGTATCAAACTAGATTGATTTAATATAATTATCTCATCTTTTACAGATACTTGACGAGTTCGTTATACAATCATTGTCTTAAGGATGTCGGTAAGTGATTGTGATTTTAGATGAATTTCATCACACTTCCTTCCAATATCCAATGTCGTTTTTACGAGCTAGTATAAACCAATTTGATTTCTTTGTGCTCGCCTCTTGATTGTGAGGTGTAGGTTACTGATCTTCGGTAAACTTCTGCGTAGCTCGTCCCGCCACTCGACTGTCGTAGCTTTGGTTAACTCCAAAAGGAGTAGTGCTGGGATTATATGTGTTTTGTAGTATGAGGTGTGTTAAGACTGTTACTACTGTGAATGGAGTTGATCCTTTCACCAGTTAGTCCTCCGGTATCGTCGTCAAAAGAAAAGAGATAATAATAATAGATATAATTAGTGAAGTTATTCAAACTAACAGACAGAAAAAGAATAAGAAAACGTAACAACAGTCAGCTGATTGAATTTGAAGAATACTATGAATAATATTTATATTTGTATACATATATATCGGTAATAATGATATTAATAATAATAACAGGTGCAGTTAAAGTTGTCAGGAGAGCAAGGCGAGAGAGAATGTGAACAAGTCAAACGACGAATTTAGGTGTCTATACCTGAATGGTGTATGCGATTATCAAACAGACAATCCTGACATTACCAGTTAATCGCTATCCATTTATATTGTCATTCCAGTGGCGACTATATTTTGCATATCCAGCAGTCATCAAGTCTTCAGAAGATTAGCGTTCACTTATATTTTACAACTTTTCTCTTAAACGACAGTAGCACAAGTGCAAATAATCGACAGATGAGGTGGAAATCTTTTGTTGTAACTGGAGAGTTTCTAGTTTACTCACAAATTCCATATGATGTAATCCTCGAGCCTTCATGTGGTTGTGGACTGATTTAGATTAGTTGGTTCAAAATAGTTTAAGAAAGATAGCTTAAAGTGTGCAAGTATTGAATCATTAGTAACATCTCAAAACCGCCTGAGTATAACGGTCTTAACGAGCTAGCATGAAGTTTAGATAGGTTACTTCAAACTGGGAGTATGATAGTAGAGATTTCCGGATATCTCAAGAGAATCACGTGGTTGTCGCGTTGTGAATCATATATTGTCAGTGTAGTAGGATGCTTGTTCTCACCTAAAGTCATCCTGCTGCGTTATAGCTTATGAGGTAAGAATTTCTAAACCGTTATCACCTTTTTGATGCCACCAGGAGTGTTTACTACGCCTGTAACCGAAGATATATATGTTTATTCTGGCTGGCTGGAGTTGTCATTGCAGTTTAGCCGGTTGCAGTGTATGACTTATCAATGTACTTCTACTTATTTCATGCTTGTCCACTCGTGTATAGTTTCTCGCATCACAAACAAACAGTTGAACTTAACCTTTTTGAAGGGATTGTTGGAATGGTATTTGTTGTTTTCTTGTTATTATACAATTCCTTTATTTGCGCAACATATATGTGTATTAAATCCGTTTTCACCATTACACAGGACTTGGAAGAAGAAAATCACAGGTTATTAGCCAAATTGAACGTGCTAGAAAAAATGGAGACTGCGTATCGTGATGAAATAGAAAGTCTTAAGGAACTAAGCAATAAGTTCATGAACTTATCTATCCCCACTCGGTGATTGGGAGCCTCGGTTAACATCGGAACCAATGGTGCTGCGAACTGATTAGTGCTTAATTGGCACACGTAGCAATTCTGCAAATTCAGTGACGTCGTGATGAAGGAGTGGCCAACAAAAGCGTTGACGGACAGCGTGTTCGATTTTCCGTTTGCCAGCGTGGCCAAGTTGCTGGTGTACGAGATGTATTATCTCCGGGACCTTCAGACGTGGCACGATAAGGCGCGGTGACAATGGCGGTTCGACTATATACAAGACGTTATGAATCAGGCGTAGCATACCCCACTTACCACAGATGCATCCGGTTGCGTCAGACAGACTCCGTAGTTCTTTTCTCGACGGTTTTTCGTTCCCATGAAGTTGACGTGAGTACACAGGTTGGATGTCCGCGTCAGCCGCCTGCATTGCTGCCCAAACAACATCTAGGCCTGTGTTCAGTATAGCATTTACCGGGGAAACATAAGGCGGCAGACAAGAGAGGGCATCAGCGTTAGCGTGCCGGGGCCCAGGGCGATATTCGCAGGTAAAATTGAACTCCTGCGAAAGCTCCTGCCAACGAGCAGCCTGGCCTAAGCATGAACTTATTGCTTAGTTCCTTAAGACTTTCTATTTCATCACGATACGCAGTCTCCATTTTTTCTAGCACGTTCAATTTGGCTAATAACCTGTGATTTTCTTCTTCCAAGTCCTGTGTAATGGTGAAAACGGATTTAATACACATATATGTTGCGCAAATAAAGGAATTGTATAATAACAAGAAAACAACAAATACCATTCCAACAATCCCTTCAAAAAGGTTAAGTTCAACTGTTTTTTTGTGATGCGAGAAACTATACACGAGTGGACAAGCATGAAATAAGTAGAAGTACATTGATAAGTCATACACTGCAACCGGCTAAACTGCAATGACAACTCCAGCCAGCCAGAATAAACATATATATCTTCGGTTACAGGCGTAGTAAACACTCCTGGTGGCATCAAAAAGGTGATAACGGTTTAGAAATTCTTACCTCATAAGCTATAACGCAGCAGGATGACTTTAGGTGAGAACAAGCATCCTACTACACTGACAATATATGATTCACAACGCGACAACCACGTGATTCTCTTGAGATATCCGGAAATCTCTACTATCATACTCCCAGTTTGAAGTAACCTATCTAAACTTCATGCTAGCTCGTTAAGACCGTTATACTCAGGCGGTTTTGAGATGTTACTAATGATTCAATACTTGCACACTTTAAGCTATCTTTCTTAAACTATTTTGAACCAACTAATCTAAATCAGTCCACAACCACATGAAGGCTCGAGGATTACATCATATGGAATTTGTGAGTAAACTAGAAACTCTCCAGTTACAACAAAAGATTTCCACCTCATCTGTCGATTATTTGCACTTGTGCTACTGTCGTTTAAGAGAAAAGTTGTAAAATATAAGTGAACGCTAATCTTCTGAAGACTTGATGACTGCTGGATATGCAAAATATAGTCGCCACTGGAATGACAATATAAATGGATAGCGATTAACTGGTAATGTCAGGATTGTCTGTTTGATAATCGCATACACCATTCAGGTATAGACACCTAAATTCGTCGTTTGACTTGTTCACATTCTCTCTCGCCTTGCTCTCCTGACAACTTTAACTGCACCTGTTATTATTATTAATATCATTATTACCGATATATATGTATACAAATATAAATATTATTCATAGTATTCTTCAAATTCAATCAGCTGACTGTTGTTACGTTTTCTTATTCTTTTTCTGTCTGTTAGTTTGAATAACTTCACTAATTATATCTATTATTATCTCTTTTCTTTTGACGACGATACCGGAGGACTAACTGGTGAAAGGATCAACTCCATTCACAGTAGTAACAGTCTTAACACACCTCATACTACAAAACACATATAATCCCAGCACTACTCCTTTTGGAGTTAACCAAAGCTACGACAGTCGAGTGGCGGGACGAGCTACGCAGAAGTTTACCGAAGATCAGTAACCTACACCTCACAATCAAGAGGCGAGCACAAAGAAATCAAATTGGTTTATACTAGCTCGTAAAAACGACATTGGATATTGGAAGGAAGTGTGATGAAATTCATCTAAAATCACAATCACTTACCGACATCCTTAAGACAATGATTGTATAACGAACTCGTCAAGTATCTGTAAAAGATGAGATAATTATATTAAATCAATCTAGTTTGATACGGGATACTCGATACTACACACTGGTCGAAATAAATAACAGCTTATCACTTATTTTTCTTTGTACCTGAGATACCCAGCTAGCATTTTCTTCGGGAGCACTGCAGACTTTTCGGGGCAAAAAACTTCGGGCGCATTGCAGATTTTGAGTATTTGAATGTACCTCTGCCCCCCCAGAAGTCTGCAGTGCGCCCGAGGTCTGCCCCGAAAAGTCTGCGATGCGCTCGAAATCATTGCTGGGTTAAAACGTCGGCAGTTTTCCGAACGAAATTAGGCAAAGTTGGAAAAAGTGAGCTGTTTTCGGAATCAACATGGGTAGTGTTTGTTGAAAAGTGAGTAGACTGGGACAATAAAATTTTTCGGGACA